GGGGGGGGGGGCTTGGACCTTGTCTTGGTGTCTTGCTTTGCTGCATGTGTTGTGCATGACTCACAAGCAGAACAAACAACATGTTCATGAACTTGCCATGCCACATAATTGCTGCCAGGTACCACTACCGAAGACGAGGTTGCCAAGCACCGCCGCCTAGCAGGTGATTCCCCCCCTGCGGCTGTGCTTGCTCAGGAAGATTACATGTTGACTCGCATAGTGCTGTTCCCACATCTTGTGCTGGCATGAACACAAAGCATTACATGCAGCATGTGCTTGGCAGCTCCTGTGCATGTTGCAGCTCAACTCCAAAGGCTTTTGGGTCCAAGTGATGAGTAGGGGACCCTCGAAACTGTGGTCGTGCAGTTCTTTGATGGCCGGCCAAGGAGCCATGGAGGGCCAAGCGCAGCCGAAGCTGCCAGTGCCGCCGGTGTCGGTAACCTTGCATAACAGCAATCATGATGTGCTTGAGTTGCTTGCTTTGTGCTCCTGTTGTCATTGCAAACATCATATTTGCTATTGTCATGTGTTGCAAAATATCAAAGGTGAAGCAGGAGGTGGAGGATGAGGACTTTTCCCCCCACACCCTGGCGATGATCGCTACACTGGATGATTCTGCGGAATCAAAGGAGCTTGTGCAGAACCTCAAGGCTGCTCGCTGCTTGCCTGCATCAGTGTCGTGCTTCGGTATGTCTGTATGCATGCAGTTTTTTTGAGCTTGCATTGCATGTTCGAGCTTGACTTGTTGTTGCATGACTCTTGCATGATGATAAGCAGCTCATTGGTATTCCAGCAACATCCTAGGCAGGCAACAGAGGATGGCAGCAGCTGCAGCTGGGGAGCATGTGAAAAGGGAGGCCGAGACTCCTGCTGGGGCAGGTGCTGCGAGTGCGAAGACAACAGCCATAAAGGCCCCCTTCCCGCCTGAGCCTCCCCGGGTGCTTACACCTCAGGAGCCTCCGTACCCCCCGCCGGGCAGACGTGCTGTGCCAAAGCAGCCCTCCTTCCCGCCACCGCCCAAGCCCCCTACAATGCCG